GATAGAAAAGTGGTAAGACTGTACTGTCAAAGGCAGAAAACTTGCAAGACACGGAAAAACAAGGCATTCCCGTCGAGTTCTGGCTCTCACAGGTTTTGCTGTAATATGTCTTGGTGACTTTCTTTTGGGATCCACCTTATGTGGGGTTCGATGAGCATCTTGGATAGATATCTTCTCATCTTTCATGATATCAGGGATGTTTTCTGTTAACAAATCTTCAACAATTTTCTCTATTTTCTGTTATTCCCCCCCTGTTCTGGTACTGCAGTCACTTGTAGGTTATTTCTCTTGATAGAGAGAGTCCCACATGACTCTTAGAGTTTCTTCATTCTTTTTAATTCTTTTATCTGATTTTTTCTCAAATAAGTTGGTATCTAGAGCTTTATCTTCAGTGTCACTAATTCTAACTTCTGCTGCCTCGATTCTGCTCCTATGACTTTCTGTTGTCTAATTCTGAAATTTTATTGTTAATCTTCTGGATTTCCGATTGCTGTCTCTGTATGGATTCTTGCAGTCTATTAAATTTGACATTATGTTCTTGAATAATTTTTTTAAGTTCTGCTACTTTGTCTGTGTGTTCCTTGGATGTTTCTGCGTTTTGTAGAATTTCCTTTCTAATTTCTAGGAGAGTTCTGTATATTAATCTTTTGTATTCTGCCTCTGGTAATTCCAAGAAATTCTCTTCCTCCAGAGAATTTATTGATTCTTTATTTTGGGAGCTTGCTGAAGCCATCATGGACTGCCTGTTTATGTGATTTGATATTGACTGTTGTCTCCGAGCCATCAATAAGTTATTATAATTTTATTTTATATTTGTTTAGTGAGTCCTAGCTTCTTGTTTTGTTTTGTTTTGATATGCCCCGATAGGCTGCTCGTGTGCACTAGTTTGATTACTGACACCTTTGAAGCTCTAACGTCCTGTCACCAGGTAGTTAGTTCTATAACTATGTGCCCACAGGAGTCCGTTAAATTTTCCTGTAAGGGTTTAGCTCAGGTGACCAGGCAGTCAGTCTCCAACTGTGTGGTGCAGGTTCTCACCTACAGTCCTAGAGAGGCATGGGTGATTGGTGCAGGTACTGGACTCTGGCTGTGGTAGGGATCACGCACTGAGCCAGGCAGGGAGGTTTCACTGTAAATGAAGATAACGCATAGTGCCAGGTCTGGGAGGATTCCCAGCTCAGAGCTTCCATGTCCCAAGGGACCTGTCCACCCTTGATGTCTTTTACCAAGCAGGATGATCACCTGAATTTCAGTGTCCAGAGTCTTTTTTAGGTTTCATTTTGTAACATGACTGAATGAGTCATTGCCCACATAGTTGAACTCGGCCTCCAGTTCCCTGGTCCCCTCATGTTGGGTCTTTCTGGCATAGCCAGCCCCCACCCAAGCTCAGTTGCCTCCTGAGCATGAACTCTCGTGTATTGTGTGGGCCCCTCATGGAAGACAAAGACCTTTCAGTCACTTGGGAAATTCCATGGATTTAGGAACCAAGGATGAAGACCAAATCCTTTTTTTTTTATTTTATTTTTTGTTTTATTGTTGTACTTTAAGTGAAAGTTTACAATTCAAGTTAGTCTCTCATACAAAAATTTATACATAGTTGGGTGACCCTAGTTGCTCTCCCTATACTCTGACGGCACACTCCTTCTTTCCACTCTGATTTCCTGTGTCCTTTCAAACAGCTCATGTCTGCCTTCTCATCTGCCTCTGGACAGGAGCTGCCCATTTAGTCTCATGTATCTACTTGAGCTAAGAAGCACACTCTTCAGGAGTATCATTTTATGTCCCAGAGTCCAGTCCAAATTTTCTCTGAAGAGTTGGCCTAGGAAATTGTTTTAGTTCTGGGCTAATAGAGAATCCAGGGGCTGTGCTTTCTAGGGTTCCTCCAGTCTCAGTCAGACCATTAAGTCTGATCTTTTTACTAGAATTTGAGTTCTGCACCCCACTTTTCTCCTGCTCCATCAGGGACTCTCTGCTGTATTCTCTGTCAGGGCGGTCTTTGGTGGTAGCCAGGCACCATCGAGCTGAAGACCAAATTCTTTAGATAAAAGTTAATTGTATACCTCAGAGAGGGTATCTATGCAGGGTGACCTAGCATGGGATGTCAGAGCCTGAATAGAGTGAAGAGGGGGCCCAAAAGGAGGGCAACCTAGTGTGGGTGTGAGCCCAGTTCAGGTGAGAGGGGTATGTGCAGAGGAAAAGGTGGTGGCTGTGTTGTGAGAGTGGTTACATACAGGGAAGGCGATTGATGGAATGTATACATATGTTAAAGATGATGGAGGCCAGATTTCACACTAGCAGAGAAAGGAGTTAAACATATATCAAAGAGAGAAAGCAAGAATTAATCCTGTGGTGTTGGAGTGGAATTAAAAGTATCAGTGTGATGTGTGTGTGTGTGTGTGCATGTGTGTGTGTGTACACGTATGTATGCACATATTTCCTAGCTCTGTCCCTGAGAGGAGCTTGGAGCAGTGGTAGCACTGAGCACACCTAGTGCCCAGGTCTTGGCTTCTAAATATCATTTTCCACTAGAAGAGCTCCTTGGAGAAATGGCTGAGTTTAGGGCTAGGGCAGGGGAAATATAAGGTGAGCCTGGACCATTGTGTGCCAGGTAATACAGAAGTGCTTGAAGTATGATAGGGGCATGTCAAAAGGATATAGGAACCAGCTTGAAGGGGCTCCCACTGGCCAAGTCTGGGGCAATTTGAGCATCAAATTATGATAGTGATGGATTGTAAACCATCGAATAAAGTGGGAATACATGAAATCCATGAGTTCATACTGATATAAATGCATGAATGAATGACCTCAAAGTTTAAGAAACAGACTGCTTACATAGTTTCCAAGTACGCCCCACAGGCAGGATCTTTAACTACAGAGGGGGAAGGTAACTTCACAGCGAGGTCTGGCAGTCACCCTCTCACTTAAGTGATCAAAGTGAGCCCCACCTAAGGGGACAGGTGGAAATCGTGCATTACCTAGCAGGATGCAGGGAAAAGAGCCCAACACCACTTTCGCGTTATTCCTGCCAAAGATGCGTTAGTGGAGTCTGATCATGAGGAACCATCAGATGTACCCAGATTGAGGGGTATTGCATAAAACTGAACAAAGCCTATAATCTTCAAAGTGTCAGTGTCTTTAAAGACTGAGGAGCTATTCTGGACTAAAGGAGACATATCTGAAGCAAGTGAGTTAGACAGTGTTCTGTTGTAATCTGTAGGGGTTTGATAGGCTAATTTTTAGAAGTAGATCGCCAGGCCTTTCTTCCTGCTCTGTCTTAGTCTGGAAGCTCCAGTGAAACCTGTCCACCATGGATGACCCTGTTGGTATTTGAAGTACTGATGACATAGCTTCTAGTGTGACAGGTTGTGGTCAGGGCTTTTAAGAAGATTTAAAAAAAAAATTTGTCTTGGTTCTTTTCAGTTTTAGGTTTGATATGAATGATCTAGCCCACCATCATTAGAAACAGGATAGTCTTGCCTTGTTTGAATTTTTTTTTTTTAATAGTAATGTTCCCTCTTTTGAAAACGCAGTACAGCAGCCATGAGATTTCCTTCTCTTCCCCTCACACCAAATCATCCGCCTTCAGGAGGCTGGCCCCGGCGGTGCTGCTAATCAAACGCTCACTTTGCTGCAACAATATGGTTTTCTTCTTTGCTTTCCAGTTTCTGGAAGAAAACTCTGATCCTTCTGCCTTCGAAATTCAGGAGGAGTTAGAACAATACACAACCAAAATCGTACAGAACAACCTCCTGGGACCCCAGGGAGCACACGTGAGTTACCGTGGTCTGTTTTCCCCTCACACTGTTAGCATCATCATCATCATTCCCTCTGCACTGTCGTTTGTGGACACGTTTGGCTTCCCAAAGTAGCCTTGAATTTGAATCCCAGCTCTGCCTCTTACGAGCCCTGTGACCCTACAGGCTATGTAACCTTCCCTGAGCCCGTTTCCTCGTCTCTGATTTCTGCCTGCATGACCAGTGAGAGGATGAGGTGAAAGAGGCGGTGTGGGTATAGCATCCAGCAAGGTTCTGGCATGCAGACTCTCACTTTGTGAATGATGTCCTTGTCCTTTTGTTCTTTCTTCTCCAATACTAAACCACTGCCATTACATCCCCTTCCCCATAGTAAACGTGTATTAATTTACTTGATAAATAAATGAGATAGACAATCAACCTGCAGTTGTTATTAGCAGCTGTCTTGTTGGCCCTTGACTCATGGCGACCCCATGTGTTACAGAGTAGAACTGCTCCATGGGGTTTTCTTACCTGTAATCTTTATGGAAGCAGTTTGCCAGGTCTTTCTTCCGTGGAGCCACTGAGTGGGTTCAAACCACCAGCCTTTAGTTTAGCAGTTGATCTCAAACCACTTGTGACACCCAGGTACCCCTTCAACCCGAAGCTAATCTTGAAATGTCTTGCCCAGGTTTCACACCAGAGATTCTGATTTAATCGGTCTGGATTAGGTCTGGGTCAATGCACCCAACAGCAAGAGCTCAAGTGTATGTTACAGAAGCTGCCCAGGCAGTTCTCATTTGCAGCCTGGCGCGGACCCACTCATGGCGCAGCTGTAGACATGAGCCTCACAACCTCAGAACCGAGGTTCACCTGAGGGGCAGCGGGAGGCTGCAGCAGTTTCATCCAGAGAGGTTGGCTTTAAAGAAAAGTAACTAGCATGTCTTAAGTGCTTCATGTATTCCAGGCCTCACTACGTTGATCGTCTCTTTATCTGACTAACAACTTTGTGACGTGGTTATCATTCTTATTCTTATGAACGAGGAAACTTCAGGCTTAGAGAGGTCACTTTATCATACCAAACATTATTCCAGAGCTTGGGAATATGGATTCTGGCTCAGATAGGCGGGCAACTGGCAGAGCTGGACTATCATGTGGTTCTGTAGAAGCTTTTTCCTCTGGTTTTAAAAAAAAAAAGTGAATATATATTGAATTCAGTTTAAAATGACACTGCAAGGCTCTTCGACTTTTTTAACAGGTGAAAAATGTCTGCGAGAGCAGGAGCAAGCTCATCGCTTACTTCTGGAAATCACACATGAGTGCTAAGCGGTGTCCCCACTGCAAGTGAGTACGGGCTCCTGCCTTTCCCTCTCCCCAGGCGAGGCATCTCTGGCCAGAGTCGCTCACAGCTGTTGTTTGGTTTGTTTTTCTCAATCTCTACTGTGCTTATGTGTAGGACCGGGCGGTCAGTCATCCGAAAGGAGCACAACAGCAAACTGACAATCACATATCCGGCCATAGTGCACAGGAAGAGTGACCAGAAGAACACAGAGACCCTGGGTAAGCAGGCCGGGCCAAGGAAAGGGCTCCTTGGCCATTGAATATGTCCCAAACCTTGGGAATACTGGTCCCCCTTTACAACACACTTCTCAGCTGTACATTTGTGGCCTCATGGGGCTGGAGAGGGTCCTGGTGCGTGCCCAAGCCAGGCCTCCCCCACAGGAGGAGTCTGTCACGGTATACCACAGCCAAATCAGGTGTCTCTTCCCTCAAGTGGTAGTTTTTCTGACAGATTTTTGAGGAAGAAACTAAGGCATTTACCTGGCAAATATTTAGGAACATTTTATTGTAAAACACATATGGATTTCTTTTGGAGTAAAATGTAGGTGAATTTTTAAGAAAAAGGGCACAAATTTGAAGAACCTTGGAACCTCCTACAGGCTGCTCCTAGCTGTCCACCCAGATCCCTGGGGGCAGAGTGCCCTCCTCTCCTCAGCTCTGCTCCGCCCTGGGGTAGTTGGGAAAAAATTTCAGAGAACTGACTTAGTACTCCCACATTTTTTCTAGTTGTTTGTTTGTTTAAAGTTTTTATGTTTTTTAACTCTGAAGTGGTGAGTACTGAATACGATATTCTGTGTGAAGTGCTAAGACCAGTGTCCACAGTGTCGTGAAGTGCTCTGTAGCTGTTACCTGTTCGTTTCTGATTATACATTCAGTGTGCCAGGATAGAAAAAGCACAGCCTGTGCTTGACACCTGGCTCTGCTCCTTGTCCTGAGTCGTTTAGATAAGGTCACTTCTTTAAGCTTTGGCCTCCAGCTCTATAGAGTGAGAATAACAACCTATTGTCCAGAGTTGAGGAAATTTACATGTATGAAAGCCCATAGCATAATGTTAGCAAACTTTATTCCAGAGCTTGGGAGTATGGATCCTGGGTCAGATAGGCGAGCAGGTTCATTCTGTTCCTGGAGGTGAATGTATCATTTACATTGAAGACTCTGCAGAGGCCTGTAGAAAATACGCCTGTTGGTTAGTGCTTTTTAAATAAACCTTTCATTTTGGAATAATTTTAGATTTTTTTAAAGAGTTGGAAAGATGGCGCAGAGAGTTTCCATATATTCTACCCAGCTTGCTCTAATAAAACGTCTTACATTCCCATGGTGTGTTTGTCAAAACTAAGAAATTAACTTTGATAGAATATTTTTAACTAAACTACAGACTTCATCTGAATTTTGCCAGCTTTTCCAGTAATGTCTTTTTTATGCTGTAGGATCTAATCCAGGATTCCCTGCTGCGTTTAGAAAACCTGTTTAATGCTTAGCAGTTAGCTACAAGGGTGGATTTTTCCTACCACAAAACCCCAAGTACGCAGAGTAGAACTGCTCCATAGGGTTTTCTCCATAATCCTTTACAGAAGCTGACTGCCATGCCTTTCTTCCGTGGCACTGCTGGGTGGGATCAAACTGCCAACCTTTGTTTTAGGTTAGTAGTTGGGCATAAACCATTTGCACCACTCAAGGGCCTGGATTTTCCTACACTCACCCATAAAGAGCCCTCAAAATAATTTTCCCTTAATGCCAGTTTGGGAATTGCTAATCTAGCCCTTAGGGTGCCTCAGAAAATGTTTGCAGACTGAGAACAAAGATGGTCAAAATTCTAGACGGTAACTTTCTTTCAGGTAAATGTCTAGCAATTGAGTAATCTTTCAGTGTCTTTGTTGCCAGACTTAATCTTCTCAAGGAATCTTTCAGTGCATCTCTGAGAGCATCATGGTGTCACCCAGAGGTCTGTGCATTAGCAACAAGCAGATAAACAAGCAAGAATGAGTAGAAGTGGAATAATAAGGTCTTAAAGGGTTCCAGGGTTGGGTTTTAAGTATTTAGCAAGTATTTATGCATTGGGCACTCACTTTGTGCCAAGGACCATGCATGAGGTGGAGCACAGCGCCAGGGTGGAGACTAGACCACGTGGCCTCTGTGGTCAGGAGGATATAGGTGACACAGATCAGTAACTCCAGGGAGCAGGTGAGCATTCTGAGCATGGGTCTGGCCATGTTCCTAGTACCAAAGGGAGCCAGAAAGTGAGGCCTGTGCTAAGTGGTCCCTGTGGACTGGTGATCCCATGAGGAGCACCACGAGCATGTGACGTGCCACACACACTCCAGAGTGCTCCTGGGGCCCACGATGTACGTTCGTACATTCGCCTTTTAACTGACCATGAGAATCCTTTCAGCCAAGACACACCCACCGTGATCTGATCTTCCCCAAGTTATTCTATCTCCAAACCCTTTTTTCACATGGCAGCTCTTTAATAGCTGAATGAGACACACGTTAGAGATTCTCTGACATCCCATCGTAGGAATAGCTCTGTCTTGTAGGTTGTGAGGTGGGTGCAACCGTGTGAGGAGGTGGCATCCCTCAGGTTATTCTGACTTGAAAACCCTGCGCTTGAGCAGCCTCAGCCTGTCTTCTCTAGGATTCAGCTGCGGGGGGGCACTTCACTTACTGGCAGATAGTGGCGAGCATTGTCATATTCAGCCGTCTTCCTCAGCCCTTCAGACCTGTTTATTAAGAGAGAGAGTTCAGATATTTATTTCCAGAAATACGTGCAAAATTGTTTTTTAGGTTAATGGAGTCTGCTTTTTCCCACTGAACATAGATAGCTTTCTAATGTTGTGGTCAACCCTGAAGGTCAAAGCCAGGGCTTCCTTCAATTGCATTAACTTGTTAAAATGTTTTGCTTTCATAAGTATCAAAATTGAAAATTAAAAATGACTCCTTGACCCATCAATTCCACTTCTAGGAATTTATCTAAGGAGTTGTTTAAACGCCCACGGTATTGTTTAAGTATTTCAAAATCAGAAATGACTTAAGTGTCTGTTAATAAAGAGTAGTTAAATAAATGGAGTCCCTGGGTGGTGCAAAAGGTTAACACGCTTGGTTGCTAATTGGAAGGTTGGAGGTTTGAGTTCACCCAGAGGCCTGGTGCTCTCCTTCCAAAAAATCAGCCATTGAAAACCCTATGGAGGACAGTTCTACTCTGACACACACGGAGTTGCCATGAGTCACGGTCAGCTTGACGGTACCTGGTACTGGTTGCTAGTTAAATAAATGTTGGTCCATCTGGTTTTCCAAGGTAAGGTTTCTCTAAAAGCTTGTGATGACATATCCTCTGCAGATTGTAAAGCAACTAATTGAAGAACTGGAGCTGAATTAAAGCTTGATTTTAAAATTGTAAAAAAAAAAGACAAAAAAGTGGGGTTTTAAGTAAAAATTATCTTAGAGTATTATGAACATCTATAGTCAAGCTTAAAAAAAGCCGCAAACTCGTTGCCGTTGAGTCGATTCCAACTCATAGTGACCTATAGGACAGAGTAGAACTGCCTCAGGGTTTCCAAGAAGCATAGGTGGATTTGAACTGCCAGCTTTTTGGTTAGGAGCCAAGCTCTTAACCCTTATGCCACCAAGGCTCCATGTTCGAGCTAGTGAATGTTTATTTAATATCTGTTGTGTGCTAGACACTTTTAGGTACTAGGAACACAGACAAGATATAGTTCCTACCCTGATAAGTATATAAAAAGGGGAAATTTAGCAATGCTTCATTTTAAGGAGTGCGTCCTAGAAAAGGTTGTTAGTTTTGAACCTGGAAGGTTACGTGGCTTGTCGTTTTTTTAAAAAATTGATTTATTTAATTGTAATTTATGAAAGTTTACATAGCACATTAGTTTCTCATTAAACAGTTAATACACAAATTGTTTTGTGACATTGGTTGCCAACCCCATGATGTGTCAACACTCTCCCCTTTTTCACCACCAATTCCCTTGTTGCATTCATCCAGTTTTCCTATCCCTTCCTGCCTTCTCGTCTTTGCTTTTGGGCGGGTGTGTCCATTAGTCTTGTATACATGATTGAACTATGAAGCACGCCTCTCACTTGTGTTATTGTTGGCCCTATAGACCTGTCTAATCTTTGACTTAAGGGTGAACCTCAGGAGTGACAGTACTGGACTAAAAGGGTGTCCTGGGGCCATGTTCTTGAGGTTTCTCCAGTCTCCGTCAGATCAGTAACTCTGGTCCTTTTCTTTTTTTTTTTTTTTTTTTTTTGTGAGTTAGAATTTTGTTCTACATTTTTCTCCAGCTCGGGACCCTCTATTAGGATCTGTGTCAGAGCAGTTGGTGGTGGTAGCCAGGCACCATCTATTTGTTCTGGATTCAGTCTGGTGGGGGCTATGGTTGTTGTGGTCCATTAGTCCTTTGGACTAATCTTTCCCTTGTGTCTTTGGTTTTCCTCATTCTCCTTTGCTCCAGCCAGGATGGGACCAGTAGATGTATCTCAGATGGCCGCTCATAGGCTTTTAAGACTCCAGTTGCTGCTTACCACAGTTGGATAGAGAACATTTTCTTTATAGACTGTGTTATGCCAGTTGAGCTATATGTCCCGCGAGACTAATTGTCTTTTTTAATCATCTAAATGCCTGGAGCCGCACCCCCTGAATGGGAGCCTAAGTCTGATTTTCTGACTCACTTTGGGTGTAACACCAGTATGGTCTTTGTAAAAACAAACAGTGTACTTTTACCCATAAAAATGTTCATACACTTTAATCTGTAATTCTACATCTGTGAACTTTTTCTGGAAAAAACCATGTACATAAAGATGTTTATCATAGTCTCACTTATAACAAAAAATTGTAATCAATCCAAATGTCCAACTGTATGAGTGTGGTTAAGTGTATTAGGAAACATCCCCTCAGTTGAATATTATGCAGCCATTAAAAATGATGGTCAGGCAAAAAGCTATGTATTACTGAGTAGAAATGCTCACAAGATGCCGCTAAATGAGGAGCAAAGTAGTGGTCAGAATTAATCTATACTCAAGATTATAAAGTATCTGAAATGCACTTATAAAGTATGTGAAATGCACTTATATGAAGAAAGGATTGGAAAAGAATATATAAAAGTGATAATAGTTATGTTAGTATAATAGTGGGTCATTTTTTTTAACCTTATTTTTATATTTTATACATTATGTATAACACTTTCATTACTTTAGAAATTAGATGAAGGGGAAAAATCTAGGGCTGAGAATATGCTGTCCTAGAGATTGGTTTTTGGGGTCACTTTGCAGGCTTGGCAGGGTGGGGCTGATAGATCCCATTACAGAAGGAGTGTCTGTTGTTGACCTATTGTGCTTTGATTCCCCTCTTCGGCTGCAGGAATTGAGGAAGCTCAGCTGGGAAAACGAGGCTACTTAACACCCACCAGCGCCCGAGAACACCTCATCGCCCTCTGGGAGAACGAAGGTACTGCGCCAGCCTAAAGAAATAACTCTTTGTCTTCCCCAGGTTTTAATTTCCTGGGCTCCTTTACCGTGCCTTATGATTTTTATTCTCTTAAAGTTGTGATTATTGTAGACCTCCTGGAAATCAATCCCTAGGCTTGAAGCAGACTTCGGGGTGCATTGTCATTGAAGCCATCAGTGGGGTGGGGTTTATACCCAGCACTGTGAACATGCTAATTATTGTAACTGAGCCTGGTCATTAAGTTACAGCCCACGGCGGGCCTTGCTAACACAGTTTGACATGTTTCTGGAAGGCTCAGTGTAACTCAGCTTATTTTAAATGCCTGTAAATAGTAGCCTTTTTATAGGTTTTTACAGCGATTTCTTTTGTGAATCAAAGAATGAACACTAATTTGTCCTTTTTAAAAAATAAAAAAAAAAATTAGGAATTAGGATTTTTATATTTTTCAATTCTCTAAAGAGAAAAGGAACTCCCCCTTCCCTTTTGAGTATGTGACAAAACCTGTGTAGAATATTCAAGTGCTCACATCGCCGTCCCTCTGAGAGTGTGTTCTGGAACCCTGACTCTAACACTGTAATGATGAGCGGTTAGAACTGAAAACGTTCTTAAAGGGATGAGTGACGTCAGAAAAGAAAGCCCCCAAGTTAGTGTGATTGTTTCTGCGGCAAGATCCCTTCCTGGAGAGCGCCCACATGGAGGGGCTTTGTTGTTGTTGTTGTTTTTAAGAAGGCTCGAACTTTTTTCTTTATTTAAAATATATTTTTTATAAATGCCAAAGTAGTAAGTGCTTGGTGGGTTTGTTTTGTTTTTATTTTTGTTTAAGTCCAGGATGGTAAAGAGAAACAAGTGAAAGTTTTTTTCCATCCTTGCCTGTCTCTGACCCTGGGGCAAGCACCGTCATCCCCACAATGCCTGTTTTTATAAGCCAGCTTCTTACCTGCATAAAGACTCCCGTACGTGCAGGGACGATTTTCTGGTTGTTATTTTTCATAAAGAAAAAGGTGATCTTATTCTTCATACTATCCTGTATTGTTTTATTTCCACTCTAGTATTTTTGGGGTCATCCTTCCATGCCCTTACGTATAGAACTAAGCAGTCTTTTGGGTTTGTTTATTTTGAACACAGGATTCTTTCTGAATTACCTTTTTTTGGGACTGGAAGATGTTGGCATGGAGTCCAGATTCAATCCCAATATGTTCTTTCTTGATTTCTTGGTGGTGCCGCCCTCAAGGTAATGCGCTTTAATGAACTTATTTCACCTAAAAAGGGTTGATTGAGTGATTGAATAATGACCTTAGGAGGGGATGGAAGGGTCCAGAGCACTGAGAAATAAAGCAGCAGTTCCTGTCCTAGGTTTCAGGAAGTGGGGATACTTTCCTGTCCCGTTTGTCCTGAGGACAGTGTTGGCTGTTTTGGGAGCATGGTGGAGTGTGAGTTGCTTGCCGCGGTGATGGGGGAGAGGATGAAGAACGTGACCCTTTCCTCACTGTAAACATTCCTTGATTATGTGCGCTCACCCGCAGGTATCGTCCTGTCAATCGCCTGGGGGACCAGATGTTCACCAACGGCCAGACAGTGAACTTGCAGGCTGTCATGAAGGACATAGTTCTGATCCGGAAGCTTCTGGCACTGATGGCCCAAGAACAGAAGCTGCCATGCGAGGTGGCAGCAGCTGCCGCAGATGAGGTCAGAGCTGCCTTGGTGCTAGTGTCATAAGCACCCTCGTTTAGTTCTGCCTCTGCGCGGTGGTGCACGGAACGCCATATGTGCTGGGAGATGCTGATGGGATGTTCTGTACAGCTGGCAGCACCCTAGTGCCAGCTGTGGGTGTGGGGGGACTTATGCGGGAGACTGAGCTTTGATTCCTGGGCAGTGCGCCTCAAGCACAGCCACCACCCGTCTGTCACTGGAGGCCTGTGGTTCCTGTGATGCTGGATAGGTTTCAGCAGAGCTTCCAGACGAAGACAGACTAGGAAGAAAGGCCTGGCTATCTTTCTGAAAATCAGCCAACGCAAATCCTAATCACAGTGGTCTAAGCTCACTGTGCATGGGGTCGCCGTGAGTGAGGGTTGACTTGATGGCATCTGACAATAACAAGTTAATGTATTGGGCATAAAAAGGTCTGGGTTCTGCCCCTAGCGACCTTGCTGGGTAACCTTGGTTGAATCATTTTACTTTCTTGGACTAGTCTGTAATGTGTGTGGTTTGTGCCAAGATTTTACACAGACTGTTCTGGGCCACCTGCCCTCGCTGGCAGTTGTTGGCAGCTCTAGAAAGAACTGTGCATTTCCCTCGGGCTCTGAGAACGTCCCTCCTGGGCTACAGTACTGGAGCCAGTGGGGCAGCTCTGATTTTGGCTGGTTACGTTCTCCAGCACTGGAGTCAGGATGGCAGTGTTGTTGACTGGGAACATCTCAGACTAGGAATGTCAGGTTTGGGGCCTCAGCTTTCTCCTTTGTGAAATGGTGGAGTGGAATTCACTTTTCCATTTCAGTAGACATTTGCTGAGCCCCTGAGTGTGCTAGGCTCTGTGCTAGGTCTTTAGCAGGTATAGAGGTGAACCAGGTGCTCAGAAAGCTTGCTGAGAGAAGGTTTGAAATGCTCTCTGGATGCAGATAAGAAGGACTGTCCCTGCCGTGGGTAGACAGTTGGGGCCCTCAAACTCCCTGCTGTTGGACAGTTCTGCTGTGAGCCAGGCCCATCACAAGGTGGTGCCACTGTGTTTCCAGGACACTTGCACTCTGGGCTACCTAGCCTTTCTCCCGGGAGCTTTCTTTGGTTTCGCCGAATGGTTCTCATCTGCCAGTATAGAATCAGTAGACTGATCTCTCGGTGTAAGAGGAATCTGCCATCTGCAGGTCCTGTCCAGTTTAGGGGGGATGGCTCTAGCATAGCCAAGTCCAGTGACTAGGACTGAGAATTGTATTTTGATATCCTTTGAAAACAGAGCAACCCTTCATCAAAAAAGCACAGTCTGTGCAGAAACAAACAGCATCCTTTCTGATTCCTAAGGTTCTCCATACCAGAAATCACAATGCCCTCTTTCCTTCTGATTAACAGGGCATGTTCTTACTTCTCTCCCCACATTTCATTCTCATGGCAGCCCTAGCATGCATCGGGAACCTGGAGGGAGCCAGGCACTGTTCTGGGCAATGGGGATGTATTGGTGAGCCAGGGAGACAAGGTCACTCTGGTGGACTCATTTCACCAGTAATCACTTGGCCCTTAGCCAGGTAACGCCATCATACTGGTGACTGTCTCTCCCTGTAAGGTTCCTCCAGCAGAGGGAAGCCCCCTCCAGCAGAGGGGGACCCTGAGCGTTACCTGCAGAAGTAATTCTGTCCTCTCTGTAGCTCAAGAAGACCCCTTTGTCCCTCAGGGTGGAAGACAAGCTCACATCATCATGAAGAGTTCTTGTAACATTCTCATTTACTGCATCTCCAGCCACCTCACCCCATCCAACACATTGGTCTCTTCTCTCATGTGACCCACACAGAGAACTTGGGACCATCTGTCTGTCTCTTTGTGTCATACCAGCCTATAGGGCCCACAGTCAATAGGTGGCGCTCTAAGGCAGCTTAAGGACGCTGTCTGTGTCTGTCTCCTGGGCAGGCAAGGGGAGACAGAGCCAGGGACAGAACAGAATTGGTTGAATACTCCAGCAAGGCTTGAAGATCAGCCAGTAGGTTGACATATAGCCCAATTGGGGATTCACATCTTAATTATTACATAGAACATCATATGACAAATGTTTTTCCTTTTAAGAAATTGTTCCACCTGCATTTTTATAAGGGTTTTGGGTCAAGTTTTTGTAAACCCATACATAAAGCTGAAATTCCTTATGAGAATTGGTTATCTGGCAGGATAACAAAGCTTTGTAACAAAAGTACTTGGTGTGGGAAGAACTTCTAGGGTTGCCTTAACCAAAAGCCCACCGCTGTCGAGTCGATTCTCACTCATAGTGACCCTACAGGACAGAATAGAATTGCTCCATAGGATTTCCAATCTTTATGGGAGCAGACTACCACATCTTTCTCCTAAAGAGCAGCTGGTGGGTTCAAACCGCCAACCTTTGAGTTAGCAGCCACGCACTTCAGCCACTGTGCCACCAGGGCTTCTTAGGGTTGCCTAAAAAAAACCCAAACCATACCAGTTGCTGTGGAGTTGATTCCAACTTATAGCGATCCTATAGGACAGAGTAGATCTGCCCCTTTGGGTTTCCAAGGAGCACCTGGGGGATTTGAACTGCCAACCTCCTGCTTAGCAGCTGATCTCTTAACCACTGGCAACTGCCTTAATAAAGGAGCCTGCTTAAAATTTGAGTTCATTTTGCTACCAGAAAGGTACAGGCTGGAAAATATGTAGCGGGGGCTGATAGTTTGTTGATGCTTAATTACAAGGTGGTTGTATTAGCACTTTCACAAGGTAAACTCCAGAGCTCATTGTTTGCCAGGGCTAGTGTGAGAAAGAAAGAAAACCTAGTGTGGCTTTTCTGAGTGTTTCTCCATCGTGCATGTTTTCTCTCTTGTATCCTCCCAGGAGAAGGACTCTTCCATCGTGATGGACCGCTCCTTTTTAAGTACACTTCCAGGCCAGTCCCTCACAGACAAGCTTTACAACATTTGGATTCGCCTTCAGAGCCACGTCAATATCGTGTTTGATAGCGAAATGGACAAACTAATGATGGAAAAGTACCCCGGCATTAGACAGGTGATGGTTAAGTCGGTTTCCAGTTCCCGGTTGAAGGGGTGAAAAGACAAAACTATAAACATACTTGAACCTTTTTGTTTTAAAATGCTTTATTTGGACTTTTTTCCCCTGTAAAGATCCTGGAGAAGAAGGACGGCCTGTTCCGGAAGCACATGATGGGGAAGCGAGTGGACTATGCGGCCCGCTCCGTCATCTGCCCAGACATGTACATTAATACCAACGAGATTGGAATTCCCATGGTGTGTGGAGGGCGTGCCCGTGGCCGGCTGGGGAGGAGGGTTTGCAGCAGATTGTGGTGGCTTGGGAGGTGACAGCACCTGCGTCTCCTGGACAAGCCGTTTGGATGGGGCTTGAGGCTGTGCAGTGGCACCAGTCACCTTGCCGGGCCGTGACCTGCTAAACACCTGCCCACGTCTCGGGGCACAGGGGAGCTGATTGAAGGGCATTGCAGATCCCTGCCTGCCCGTCTTCCTCCTGCCTGCCTTTGAATCTCTGTAGTCAGTCTGAACACATGGCAGAGGAGAGACACAGGGAAAGGGGGCTCTCAGCCCGTGCACCTGCTGGCGTCAGGAGTGTGTGCCCTGGGCCGCCAGGGAGAGGAAGGGGCGAGCCCCCATGGGGAGGCGTGTGCGCATCATCCATCGCCCTTTCCCTGGTGGTACGCCGTTTGTCCCATCCGCCCGTTAGTGCTTCCTCAGGGAGCAGCCTCCTTTGCTCACTTCCCTACTAGTTCAAGTTGTGGTGTTCATTAGCAGCAGCCCTTTAATCAGCTTCCTCCTTAATGGGCCTGGAGGTCAGTAATGTGAAGATGGTTTAATTCCCTCCGTGCAGAGTCTCTCCTCAGGGGAGTGCTATAATGAGCGCAGCTGAGTGTTCCCGCCGCTTCCTGTGTGCCCAATACCTCCTGTGTGCCTGCTGCTCGCCTCTCCCGGGCACGCTTGGGCTTCCTGGGCGAGGATGTGACATCAGGAGACAGGAGTCAGTGCTTAGGGCTGTGCCCGCTGCCTCCTGGGACCATCAGAAAGCTGGGTCACGTGGCAAGGTGACTTACTGCATCTGAGCCCTTCCTTTCGGGGGGCCCTGGGAGGAGAGGTCCAGGGCCTGTGTGGTGCTTTCTCTGGACAGAGGGCAGGAGCTGCCCCTGCTGACTTTGACTTCACAGTGCCTAGTGTGTCTCCAGCTTTGAGAGAGACCTTTAGGACTGCCTCCTCTTTCTACTTTTTAAGGGGTGCTGGACCTCTTTCTTAGGTCTGGGTTCGTTAAATAATGGCTTGTCCTCAGAATAAGGATTGCGATTACCCTCTGCCCACCTCCAACCTGCCCGGGTCTCAGGGCCGTGTATGCCTGAGAATGTTAGAGCAGAGCATGCAAAGCTGCCTCTTGGTCCCCTTAGCACGCCTCCCGCGTATAACCTTGCCGATCGGAGTTATAGAAGCAAAAGAGCTCAAGTAAGTGTGGAGAATAAGCCAGAGGCTCGGCAGCGAACCGGAGGCTAGCACCCCCTCATGATGCATATGCACCAGTGTGACCAGATAAACACGTAACAAACACATGATATTTGTCCAGTGGGGTAGGGGCCTTGGCGGAAAGTAGAGCAGGCTAAGGGATGGGAGTGCAGGGCAAAGGTGGCCAGGGAAGGCCCCTCATAAAGTGGTATCTGAGCAGAGACCTGAGAAAAGTTAAGCAAGCTCCTTTCTGTAGGGCTTCTCAGAGTCTGATGTATTCAGAGGCATTTAGAATCATCAGGGGATTTATAATATTCAGTAGTTCGGGACTCATTTAACCAGGGAACTCAGGTCTACCGTTGAGTGGAGCACTCTGCATTTTGTCATGTATCACGAGAGCAAATCCGTTTAATCTCAAGTGCCACTTAGATTGTAGTGGTTGCCGGAGCTGTTAAGATATTCCGGTGCCATGTCTGGGCTCCAGGAAGTGCTGCTATCGATTAATGATGTCTGCTGGGCCCGGGGAGGGTGTGAAGGTGTTGGAGGGCAAGCTAGTGTACCATGTTGTGTTTCTTTCTTTGAGGCCTTTGAATTTATTAGCAGATGAGAAAATAATGAAGTTTTAGAGTGAGTTACAAAATTTAATGTGTAGACTACGACACTGAAATGACCCTCCTCAGAGCGACTGCCAGGAGAGGAGCTCAGCCTCGGTTCCCTTCCAGGGTGAGTCTGGGGAGATGGCTGTGTGGAGAAGGCCGGCAGGATGCTGCTGTACTCACTGAAGCACCTTGGCTACATCAGCTCCTCCACATCTTAGAAAGTCACCCAGCCTGTCGAGTCAGATTTTGGGTCTGTAGTCTTCTTTTCTGCCCACCCTGAATTTTCACACCCATTTCCTCTTTCAAGGTATTTGCTACAAAACTGACCTACCCTCAGCCAGTTACCCCCTGGAATGTTCAGGAACTGAGACAAGCAGTCATCAACGGCCCCAACGTGCACCCGGGCGCCTCCATGGTCATCAACGAGGATGGCAGCCGCACAGCCCTGAGCGCCTCGGACCTCACCCAGCGAGAAGCCGTGGCTAAACAGCTCCTCACACCGGCCACGGGGGCCCCGAAGCCCCAAGGCACGAAAATTGTGAGTAGAGGGCAGATTTGGTCAGGGGCTGTGGTCCCTGTGACTGCCAGCCACTGGCTATTGCTCACATGAGTGCGGACACCAGGGTGCAGAGTGTGAGCTGTTCCCTCATCCCCAGGACGAATCTTCCCCCACCTCTGGGTGCTCTCTGGATGCCTTGTGCTTACCTTATCTCCCAGCTAGAGCGCGAGCTCCAGGGGATAGAGACCGTGAGGAGTGCTTCATTTGGCCGCCACACCATGTAAAGCACAGTGCGGGGCACACAGCAGGGGCTTAGCAGATGCTGTTCCATTGTAACTCAGCTGCGGTCCTGAGGCAGGGAGCATGCTGCCTTTGAACAGGGCTGCTTGAAGAGTGGTCCTCAGGTCATGTCAGCAGCAGGCCTGGAGCCGGTGAGAAGTGCAGATGGCCCTTTCTCTCCCTGGGAGTGGGCCCAGGGTCTGTGTTGTAACAAGCTCTCCAGGTTCTCGAGCATGTGGAAGTTGAGAAGAACAGCCCCAAAGGAAGGGAATGCTCTGTCAGTGATAACCGAGGACCACAGGTTTCACCCAATGCTTCCGTTTCAGGTGATTCTCGTGGCTCCAGAGTAAGGGATCCTGAGGCTTTTTCTGGGCTTCAACAGAAAGAGTGCCATGGTTGATTAGCAGTGTGGAGTGACAGTATGTGTGTCTGCATCACATAATAGCCACTCCTGCTGGGAGGAGAGTGGCAAATGAAGCCTGACCAGGCAATAGCTGGAGTGCAGTGGATTCCATTTGGGTGTAGCTTAGGGTGCTGCCCAGAGTCGGGGGGCTTCCTAGGTTCTCCAGCCCAGCTGCACATTCATTAGGCCCCTCCTCGTCCTCTGACACGCCTGTACCTGGTAACCAGCTAGGTCTTTTTTAGTCCTGAGTGCAGGCGCTACAGACGTTCTGTCAGCTTGAAGGAACTTTAGAGAGGAACAGGGGGAAAAAGAAACAACGCTTGTTGTGAGGACCATTGGTTCTCATTCTTCATCAAGGGTAGCAATACCATCAGCCTGTCATCTTGCTTCCCTCTCATCCTTGGGCTCTTCTGAGGGAGAGCAGTGACATGGTGGCAGGGAGCACCTGCAGACACAGGTAAGTCACCTGCTTGGTTCTTTTCTAATCACTGAATCTGTGTTCAGACTCACAGGACTGCTCTGTGTTTCTTAAGTGCCTGGTGGTTTGCTAGGAGTTGTGTGAGAGACGCAAGAGAAATCAAAGCGTATTTTCACTTAAATCCGTTTGGTGAAACTAGACAGACATGAAATAATCTTCATATTAACTCAAGCTAAAGCTGTGAAACAGTCTCTGTGTTAGCACCGTAGAAATGAAGAGGTGTAAACGGAGAGAGGAGAGGAGTATGGGGTCAGGTAGCACAGAGTGCCTATCACGTGTTTGCCAGCTGCCGTGGGCGTGACGCCTCTCTCCTGGAGTTGGCAGGAAGGTGGGGGAGACCACCAGTAGTGAGCGTATGAATACTTTACCTACTCCTGGATGGGGTGGCAGACACATAGGGTGCAGTGGCAGAGGAGGGTGACTGTGCACATGATGCTGAAGAAGACATGAGTTTGAGGTGAGTGGGCGAGCAGGGAGAGCTTGGAGTCAGCAGGAAGTAGTTGTGAGCCAGGCAGTGAGGCGCCACCTCGAGGGCTTCAGTGGCAACCAAGGGCAATGGCAGGGGCCTTTCAAAGAGACAGCTAGCAGGACTTGGCAACAGAGTGGGTGTCTCCTCTAGAATAGAGAAGAAGTGGAACAAAAGCATGGTTTACAGCGCAGGAGAATGGGAATGCCCTGGAAGGAGGTAGGTCTGGGCCCTTGTGAATTTCAGTTGATAGCAGAGAATCTAAGTGATCGTCTCCTGCAGAAGGTGGAAACATGGGACCTAGATTAGGGAGCCATGGAGTTGAGAAATGAAATTGTTGTTGTGTTAAAATCTTGGAGCACCAAGTGCAGTGAAGAGAGAAGATGTTGGACACGTGGGAGGCTGAGGCACAGGAAGCCCAGCCTCCAGAAGCTGAGGGGAGAGAGAGGCACAGGGCTGGACTTGCCCCTCTGTGTCTGCTTCTACCTCCCATGTGGGAGTGTGAGGTTTTTCAGGTTGGAACCAGCCACTGGATGTCTTTATATCTCCTGGGGCACTTATTAGATGTCTGGGGAGTTAAATGTGAAGTTTAGGTAGAGTGCGGAAACCAAGGGAAGACTTTCGGGTTTGTCCAGATGAAAGTCATTCTTCTGGGACCTAGGAGAGCAGCTTGAACAGCGTAGAAGGAGCCAGTTTTCAGAGACGTTGTGATGAGAAGTGAAGGTCTTAGCTAAGGGCGTTCGAAAGAAAAAGCAGAAGGATATGGGGGTTTCTGACATTCCTGGGGTGTGAGGATGAGGCAAGTGCACAAAGGAACTTCCTTCACAGGACCTCAGCTTCACCTGTAGGCTTGGAGGTAAGGGGACTTGAGTGTGAGGTGAGGGAAGGCTCATCTCCCTGCAACATGCCAGTAAGTTCATGTGAGTAGACCGAGTCCTGAGGAGTGGTGAGGTTGAAGGAGGTCAGTCCCATCGCTTGTCTCCCAACTGATGTTCAAAGTCTTGTCAGACTCACAAGTCTTCACATCATCCCTGCTTTCTCCTCCAGCTGCATCTCTCCACTCAGCCTTCTTCCAACTCTGTTCAACCAGTCCCTGTTGATGCCGGGCTCTTTACCTTAGCACAAGCTGTTCCCCCTGCCTGGAACACTGTGCCCTCCCATAGGTTCCCTGCTCAACTCTGCTCTTCCTCCAGGTCTCAGCAAAGCTCTCACTCCTCTAGGACAAGGATCGGCAAATGTTCTCTGTAAAGGCCCGGCTGATAAATATTTTAGGCTTTGCAGGACACACAGTCTCTGTTGCAACTACTCAGCTCTGCCATCATGCCAAAGCAGCCAGAAATGAATAGGCAAGACTGAGTTCCAATAAAACTTTATTTACAAAAGCAGGTGGCCAGCTTGCAGGCTGTAGTTTGCCAGCTCCTGCTCTAGAAAGCTACTCCGCAAACCTGTGTTAGGTGCCCCCGTATCTTCCCACCACACCCAGTGTCCACCCCTACCCCTGCCTGTCGTCACGCCTGTTGTGTTGTCACTGCTGTGCACTCCTGTCTGCCCTGGAGCTTCTCAGTCCCAGGATGACAAGGCCAGTGAGCTCTGCTCGCCACTCACTCCCCAGCACCCAGCAGCCACCTGCCTTGTAGGGGGCCCTTTTGAAACCCCTGGGGAGTGAATGATCCCGGTCATGGGCCTGGGGGAGTGCACTGAGCATAAAGCTGAGATGTGGGAGGCTCCACTATATGAGGGCAGGGCTGGACCCAATGACCTGGCCAAGGGCAAAGACAGGACGGGACCATAGTTCCTACATCAGGACCCAGGGACTGAGGGTGGTTGTCTTTATCTTTTATTTTCCAGAATCTCAGTAGTGTTATATGTATGGCTTATTTACGTGGTGGTTGCTGTTAGGTGCCGTCAGGTTGGCTTCAACTCATGGTGACCCCATCCCTGTACAGCAGAACTAAATGTTGCCCAGTCCTGCGCCATCTTCACAGTCAGATCCATAGGTTTTGGATTGGCTGATTTTTGGAAGTAGATCTCCAGGCCTTTCTTCCTAATCTGCCTAAGTCTGGGAGCTCCGCTGAAACCTGCCTCCATGGTGACCCTGCTGGTATTTGAAATGCTGGTGGCATAGCTTCCAGCATTGCAGCAACATGCAAGCCACCACGGTCTTACAAACTGACAGATTTATTTAGACTTATAATAAAGTGTATTGTGCTTTTAATATATTTGTAATTTTAAAGACTTTGGTTAATGTGTTGAATGTAGATCAGGACAGGGCTGAAGGTTGGGTGAAGTGAGAGGGGAGGAAAGACTGAGGGCCAGGTAAGAATCATCAGCAGGGGAAAGATGGCCGAAAGGTGTGAAGCCTCTTCCTCTTCCTCTGGGCCTCCTAAGTAAAGGAGGCAGTGGCCAGGGTGGCCAGACCTCATTTCCCTGCCCAGCAGTCTGCATGCGGCAGGCCTTTGGCTGCGGGCCTGCCTCTGAGACTCTGACCCGGGCGCCAGGGCGTTCTGAATTTCACTGCAGCGTTTATTTAGAGGCAGGAGGAAGGAAGGGCCTTGGGTTTGGGTTGGCGAGGGGAGCACCCTGTGCTCCAGGGCTTCTGTTTGGATTGGCTCCTGCCCACCAGACTGGCCTGCGTGCCTTCCCAGCTGTGGGGAGTTCACTTACACTGGAGGATGTCTTGAATTTGTAAGACTGAGCTTCTCGGCCCAGCCCAGGTTTTTGGGCCTGGGCCACAGGTCTGGGTAGTTTCTCCCTTGAGAGGCTAAAGAAATAAGACCTTGAAGGTCACCTTTAGCTGCATGACGCACAGCAGCAGGCACCCCGGGCAGATGCTCATGGGAACCCTCAGAGGTCAGGTCTCCTTGGAAGCATGGGATTTGGGGGTGGGGAGGGGAAGGTTTGGATTCCTTGGAGAGCAAAAAGACTGCCTCCATGCTAGGTGCTTTTAGGGCTGCCTTTTCATTTTTGAGGTTAAAACCACATGACATGAAGACAGACGCCCTTTGCTCCCCATTTCCCTCCCAGCTGCACAGGACTGGGGAGAGAGTGGTGGGAGCATCTGTAACCTTCTGGGCTGTCTGTAGTAGTTGTCTGATGGAGCTTCACAAGTGTGGGCAGTGTAAGGAGAAACTAGACTGGCAGTCATTTGGTGTCTTCCCCAACCTGTTATCTTCGTAGTTGAGAGGAGGAGTGGGTGAGGCGAGTACCGTCGAGTCTCCAGAATTCCTCTGGACTGCTAAGGGGCGGACCTTCAGAATGGCTGGGGTGGCACGTACCTTCATGCAGTTGTTTTTAAAGTATTGTTTATGTTCATTATTTAGAAATCCCAGTAGTTACTATAATGTAACATCAGATAATAAGGCTTCTCCTGAAGTCGGCTTTGTGAGGGGAGGTGCTCTTTCAGAAGGGCATGGGGCCGCGTGTTTTAAGGAAACAAAGCGTGAACAGTGGTAATCTTTGAAGAGTGAAATTACGATTTTTACTCTTTAAGTTTGTCTATGTTTTCTATTTTGTTCCCCCACATTGAGCATATCACCTGTGTCGTTTTCTTTAAAAATAGTTGAAGACCTTTGAAAAAAATTTTACAAAAGTAACACATCCTCATTGTGACATGAACAATACTGAGATGTATGAAGGTAATGATGCCAGTCCAGGCCTTGCTTGTCCTCCTCACGTTCCTTCCTGTGCCCCTGAGGAGACCATATTAACACTGGGTGAGGATTCAGGCGAGCCTTTTTCCTTGTATATACAAGCAAGCACGTGCACAGAGTTAGGCTGGGTGTTTTAATGGCCTTGTTCAACCACCTTCTGCAACAGCTAGGTTTTTTTTTAGCTATAATTCATTGTTACTATCACTTCAGGGCTAGAATACGTTTAACTCAACCTTTTTCATCATTGCATAATATTCCATAGTATGATAGACTGTGGTTTTTTTCAGCCGTGCCCCTTCTTTTGGACAGTCAAGTTATTTTACTTTTTGCCTCTGTAAACACTGATGCATAAACATACATGTTCATATCACTCTGCAGTGGTGCTGTTTTTCTTCTAGAAAGCTAAAAGGAAGTGTGTTTTAAATGTTCTAATGGCTGTTGTCACGTTGCTTTCCCAAAAGACTACAGCAATTTACACTTCTTATTAATTTTTTAAGTGTAATTAAGGTGTTTTCAGAGGACATTGAACTGAGAATCACAAGAACCCTGTGTTCTAGTCCTGGCTCTGCTGTATAAGATTAAGTTCATTATTTCTGAAACCTGGAGTTCCTATTTAGCGTAACGTACCTATGTGTGACCGTGTGTGTATTGGGGGTGGGGGGTATTCACGAGTTTTACCAACTCCTTTCAAACCCAGGGGTTTTATGGTTATGTGCAGGTATACACTCTTCGGAAGAGGTATCCATTTTTTCAAATTAATTCTCCAAGGCATCCAGGACCTGGCAAGGCTGTGCATCTCTGAATAAGACAGAGATTACAGAACCGGGGCCTGTCGCCTCATCTGTTGCTTATACCTCTGAGCCCAGAGCAGGAATTGGGGCTGTGCAGGGCCAGCTCCAGAGGAGCCCAGTAGCTATTTCTCAAGGTTCAGAGATTCTAGGGTTTTGCTTCAGACTGAAAATTCCCCTTTTATTTAGCTGAATAGAACAGACAGAAGCCACACTCAGGCCAAGCTGAGATGCGCCCTCAGAAGCAGCAGTGATGGTGCTGATATCCCTGCTGGTCCCCCAACACGTTCACCACTCTGCCCCTAGGTGTGCCGGCATGTGAAGAACGGGGACATTCTCCTGCTGAACCGACAGCCCACCCTGCACAGACCTTCCATCCAGGCCCACCACGCCCGGATCCTCCCAGAAGAGAAAGTCCTGCGGCTCCACTATGCCAACTGCAAGGCCTACAACGCCGACTTTGACGGAGACGAGATGAACGCTCACTTTCCGCAGAGTGAGCTGGGCCGGGCCGAGGCCTGCATCCTGGCTTGCACTGATCAGCAGTACCTCGTTCCCAAGGTTGGTTATCAGCTGTGTGTCCTGGCATGTTAGATCTGGGCCCTTGCCACACTGGGGTCAGTGGGGGGCTCCTGGGCAGGGGAATGTGGAACACAGGGGTCCTAGCTTCTTCCAGGTAGGTTTTCAACCCTATAGTTGCTTAGAGGTGGGGAAAAGTCTCTGTCTCGCTGTCTCATAAAATGTGAGTCAGGAGAGAAATGGTGATGGCCATCCCAAAAAGCCGAGTTTAGTAGCATAGTGGGTTTTGTCTTCCAGATGTGTGTTTGGATTCTAAAACTTACTAGCCTCTGGCAAGCTTTAGAATCCTTTTTCCTTCCTCCTACTTCTCAGCTGTGTGTCCTTGGGCAAGTTAGGTCACTTTCACATGTGTCAAATGTGTACACCTTGCCACCTGCTCAGGTGCTGTGAGTCTCAGGTTGGGCTTACACTTCAGAAGGAGCAGCAGAACATAGGTAAAGAAGCTTACATCAATAAATTAATTTCTTAAAAAGTAAAAACTTCTGGGTGACGGCCTGACAGCTCACGTCACTTTCGATCAGTTTCTTTTGTCAGAGGTGAAGAGCTTTTGATCCGTGAACAATCTCATTTAATCCTTCATGTAAATGCCAGGAGATGGAACCCTTATTTTTTTTATGGTTATAAAAATGCAGCATGTTTTCAAGTTCTTTGGTGACAAAGTCCTAAGAGGACAAAAGCTGTTTTTTTTCAAGTAGGAAAAGCTGCTGTTGTTTGTTCTTTCATGTATCTTTATTTCCCTTTGTTTTCTTTTCTCTTTGTTATTCTATTTCTTCTCTATACCCACGTTCTTTTCCTAATTAACTGCAGTACTAAAGTACATTTGTTTGTTGGTTGTAGATTTTTAGTAGAGTTTCATGTTCTCTTCTTAATGAAAACATTAGATGAATGGAACTTTAGCTATTTCTTTTCCAAGAAAACAGTTAAATTTTTCATTTATGTATTTCTTTGTGGGTTAATTTTTTTTTCCTATTTATTGTATTTATTATGGGTCAGTGCTTTGTGAAAAAGTTTTTTTTTTTTAACAAGGCTTGAGGCATAATTTCCTGACTTGTACTTAGCTAGAAAATCCGAGTCACAGAATACCCTATTCTCTAAGGATCCTGACCAGAAACACCAATTTGCAACGTTGTTTTGCTGTGATACTAAGTGGAGTAGGATAGCTGACAATTTTCTGGGTTTTTGATTCAGAGACAGTCTTTTTTTGATCTTAAGCAGGATTTAGGAAATTGAGACTCATGAGTAGACCCTCAGTACTTGCCTGAATCAGCATTTCCCCCTACAATTTTTGATTATTGCACTGAAAGCAGTTTAGCTATTAAAGTAATTTTCTAGTCATGGAAAAATCTAGACAGAGAGAGGAGAAGGCACTGAACATATCACGTAACTTGTAATTATGCTCTTTAAAGGAAGAAAACAGAAGGAAAAATATCTTCCACCAACAATTCTGGGATGAGTCAAATACATAATGCTGGTTTGGATTTTTTCCCCCAAGCAAAATAAGACCTTGTCTTTGGAGCAGGATGTGGAGTATAATCTTTTATTTATGTTAATAACTCAAAGCCATCATGAGAAAGGCTGTGAGTGTATGATTTTGCCTTGCATCTGTGGCACCTTTTCAGCATATCTATAGTAATTACCTTTGGGTTTACAGAGCTCATTGCCACAATATTTAAACCATTTGATGAGCATCTTTTTTAGCCTTTGAATTAGTACATGTGGTTAAGTTCCTGGTGCTTCTCTATAGCTGCATTTGTGAGTTCCTTTAGTCTTAGGAAACGTGGCCATAATGTTGCCTAATATTTAACAAATAATCAAATGATAACAATCTTAGATCCAAGGCACAGATTTTTCTCAAGTTTCTGTAAACATTGAAAAGTTTGCAGAAACTGCTTTTTAAAGACCGCCTGTGAGCACAAGCTATTTTTACTGTAGTGTGCCTATGTTGCCATGAACACAGACCCAACAGATCAAGTTCAAGAGACTGGGGATTAGATAGTCTCTGAAAGTGTCAAATGAAATGAATGAACCCACCAATTCTGGGGCTTTCGTACAGGCCCTTGTTTTGGCATCTGGTAGAGAGCAGCTTTTCTTAAGGACCCACCATGGACCATGTGCTGCGCTGTGAAGAGATAGTAATAATGGACATTCTTTTCTTTTGAAATCATGCATCAAGGCCCTCTCGAGGAGCCTGTACCTGAATTCCTCCCTGCCTGCACTGCCTGACTCCAAGTCACCCCTTAGGCCTCAGCTGTGATATTGCTCCTCAGAGAGACCCTTGCTGGCCATCCCCCCCACCCACACACACACACATTTACATTACAGCCCTGCCTGTTATTTTCCTGCATGGCATTCAGAACACTACGATGATGTATTTATCCAAACATTTGTTTACTGTCTAGCTCTGCCCTGTCATAAAGGACCTTGTCTGTTCAGTCCAGTGGAGTAGACTGAGGGTCTAGCCCAGTGCCTGGGTGCACAGTAAGCTCTCAATAAATATTTATTGAATGGATGACTAATTTACAGGAGGACCTGGCTAGAAATGTGTGAAAAATACTAAAGCATAAAACCAAAGTTTTTGCTAACACAGCTAACAGCAGCCAGACCAAATTTATGCATAAATGCCAAAAATATGCTGGAGTAATTAGAATCAGAGACGGCTGGAGGAACTGGATGCATGTGAAGCAATTTTAATAATGAGGAACAGTGGGCAAATGGCAACCGTGAAAGCTGGCGGTGAAGCCCCCTAGTCATGGACCTTGGAAAGCAGTTTGCTCTTAAGATGGAAGGCTCAGGCTAGGGCTTAGTGAGGACATGGGGTAGGACAATTTGGAGATATAAGGGAGGGCCATTGCTAGAAGGCAGCCTCCAAGTAGATGATTAGGGATTAGGTTTGACTTAAAATTTATCTTTGTTCTCCTTTTGTCTGTTTTGGTTTGTAGGATGGCCAGCCACTGGCAGGCTTGATCCAGGATCACATGGTTTCGGGTGCAAGCATGACCACTCGGGGTTGCTTCTTCACCCGGGAGCAGTATATGGAGCTGGTGTACCGAGGACTCACAGACAAAGTGGGGCGTGTGAAGATCTTTCCTCCTGCCATCCTGAAGCCCTTTCCACTGTGGACAGGAAAGCAGGTAATTGGAAGGAAACAGCCAGTGTCTATAAAAAAGGGAACAAGCCACTCATACAAAAGATTTCATTCCCACGAGAGCCCGGGCCAGAGACAGAGAAATGTCTAATCAAGCAGTAGCCTGACTTTGCCTTTATTCGAAGTTTCTGGGTCTAGATGGTTTCAAGGGTGTGTCCACTAAAAGTAGGGTGCATAGTTTCTGTCCTTTGCCTCTAACTTGATGTCCTCATAGTCATAAACATGGTGGTAGTAGGCAGTGGTGGTGGTGGTAGTAGAAGCAATATTTGTTGGGAAGTGCCAAGCTTTGCTGAGTGTCTTAGAGCCGATATCGTATTTAATCCTCACAACCAACCTGTAGTGCAGATACCATTATTTCCATTTAGCAGAAGAGAATACTAAGGCTGAGAGAAGTTAAATTACATGTCCAAGGCTATAGTAGACAGTTGAGTTTCAAACTCAGGACTTTCTAAATCTTAAGCCATCATACTATACTTCCTCTCAAGGTAACAAAGTAATAGTATAATTGTGATCAAATAATGAAATACAGTAAAATATGTGTTTCTACTATTGGCTGAGCCTCCAGTTTCAGCCTTAAGGCTCAGCTACTAATTGACTATTTAATCCTGGTTCTGTGGGCCTCAGTTCCTCATCTTTGAAACAAAAGAGTTCAGATCAGTGATCTCTGAGGTCTTTTCCAGCTCTGCAATTCTTTAAGTCTGTGGACCTGGGACTTCACTGATTTTTAGTTGTTAAACCAATCTTTCATTCCTGGGATTTAATAAACCTAGCTTGGTCATACGGTATTATCCTTTTTCTGTGTTATTGGATTCAGTTTGCTAAAATTTTGTTTAGAATTTTTTGCATTCATTTTCATAAGGGATGTTGGTCTGTAGTTTTCTTTTTGTAATGTCTTTGCCTGGTTTTGGTATGAGGGTAATGCTGGCCTCATAAGGATGAGTTGGGAGGTATTCCCTCTTCTTCAGTTTTCTGTAAGAGTTTATGTAATGTTGTTATTAAATTCCTTAAATATTTGGTAGAATTCACCAGTGAAGTCATCTGTGCCTGGAGTTTTCTTTGTGGGGAGGTTTTTAACTAAAATTTCTGTTTTTTAAATAGATACAGGCCTGTTCAGGTTATCTATTTCTTCTTGAGTGAGTTTTAGTAGCTTGTATTTTTCAAGGAATTTGTCCATTTCATCTAAGTTGTCAAATTTATAGGTATAGGGTTGTTCACAATATTCCCTTATTTTACTTATCTCTAGAGTCTATAATGATGTCACCTCTCTCAGTCCTGATCTTGGTTAATTTGTATTCTCTCTCTTTTTCCTGATGAGTTGGCCTAGAAGTTTATCATTGTTATTGCTCTCAAAGAGTTTTTGGTTTCATTGACTTTCCTCTATTGTTTTTCTGTTTTCTGTTTCATTGAGTTCAACTTTTATCTTTATTATTTCTTTCTTCTGTTTACTTTGGGCTTAATTTGCTTTTTTTTTCCCTATAATTACTTAAAGTTGAAGCAGAGGTCATTGATTTGAGATTTTTCTTTTTAATAGGCATTTTGTGTATAAATTTATCCCCAAATTTCTCCTATAGTGGCATTCCACAAATTATATTGTATTTTCACTTTCATTCACTTTAAAATACTTTCTAATTGCCCTTTTGGTTTCTTTTTCGACCCATGGGCTATTTAAACCAAAAGACCCAAACCGGTTGCCATCAAGTCAGTTCTGACTCATGGCGACCTCATGTGTTTAGAATAGAACTGTGTTTCATAAGGTTTTCAGTGGCTTTCATCTTTTGGAAGTAGATCACCAGACCTTTCTTCTAGGAACCCTG